CCACCTCCTGTCGGGTATTCACCATCCCTCCTAATCCTTCTGCTCTCCATTGCTGAACGTCATTGCTCATCAACGGCCTCAGCTTTAATGTGGGGATGCAGAGGAATAACGAATTTTGGGCCCGACATAACATCAAACTCTTTTTCTGTCATCTTTACTTCTGTGCCCATTTCTTTGGGCAAGCGTCCTCTCCCCTTCGCCCACCTCCAACACTCTCCCTCCACCTGGACCCCTCCCTCTGGCCTTCCACCTGCACTTGACCTGTTCATTGAGAATTGTCGATGCAATATTGGTCACGTCAATTTCTCTGCCCCCTCAACTATCCAACCTATCTCCCCCACCAAACTGACTGCACTCTGCGCACTCAGATCCAACCGTGACTTTATTATTAAGCCTGCCGACGAAGATGGTGCTGTTGTAGTCTAGCGCACTGACCTCTACATTTCAGAGGCTGAGTGCCAGCTCTCAAATATCTCCTCCTATCTCCCCTGGACCATGATCCCACCATGGAACATCAGGAATTGTATCAACTACAGTCACTAACCTCATTTCATCTGGTGTTCTCCCCTCCCACTGCCTCCAAGCTGATAGTATCCCAACCTGGCACATCTCGCTTCTACCTCCTGAAGATCCACAAACAGACTGCCTGGGAAGATCCATTGTTTCTCTCTGCTCCTGCCCCACAGAACTAATCTCTTCCTACCTTGACTTGGACTTTTCTCCCCTGTTCCAATCCCTACCCATGCATGTCCGTGATTCCTCTGACACCTTACGCTGGTTTCAAAACTTCCAGTTTGCAGGTTCCAGCCACCTCCTCTTTACCATGGACATGCAATCCCTTTACACGTCCATTCCCCACCAGGCGGGTCTTAGGGCTCTCCGCTTCTTCCTGGAGCAAAGATCTGAACCGTCCCCACCGACTACCATCCTCCTCAACTTGGCCGAGCTCGTCCTCACTGTAAACAACTTCTCTTTTAACTCCTCTCATTTCTTCAGGTCAATGGGATGGCCATGGGTACCCACATGGGCCTCACTTATGCCTGTCTCTTCATGGGGTACGTGGAACATTCCTTGTTCCAGTTCTATTCCAGCCTCCATCCACAACTCTTTCTCCAATATATCAATGATATCATTGGTGCTGCTTATAGAGTCATAGACTAATACAGCATGGAAACAAGTTCTTCACCCCAAACTGGTCCATGCTGACCATGGTGCCCACTCAGCTAGTTCAAACTGCCTGCATTTGGTCCATATCCCTCTGAACCCTTCCAGTCCATGTACCTATCCAAATGTTTTTTAAATGTTGCTATTGTACCTGCCTCAACCACTTTCTCTGGCAGCTCATTCCATATATGCACCACTCTCTGCATGAAGAAGTTGACCTTCAGGTCCTTCTTAAATCTTTCCCCTCTCACCTTAAACCTATGCCCTCTAGTTATCAATTTCCCATCCCTGGGAAAAAAAAAAAACTATGTGTACACATGCTATCTATGCCCCTCATGATTTTATATACCTCAATAAGGTCACCCCTCATTCTCCTATGTTCCAAGGAATAAAGTCCTATCCTGGCCAACCTCTCCCTATAACTCAGGTCTACTAGTCCTGGCATCATCCTTGTAAATCTTCTTTGCACAGAAGATCCTTGCGGCACCTTGTCAAAGGCCTTACTAAATTCAATGTAGACAACATCCACTACCCTACCCTCCCCTCATCTATCCTCTTAGTTACCTCTTTGAAAAACTCTAAAGGATTTGTCAGACATGACTTCTTGTGCACAAATCCATGTTGACTGCCCCTAATCAGACAGTGACTATCCAAATGTTGTTTGATCCTGTCTCTCAGTATCCTCTCCAATAACTTGCCTATCACTGGTGTCAGGCTCACTGGCCTGTAGTTCCCTGGCTTGTCTTTACTACCTTTCGTAAACAATGGAACAACATTAGCCACCCTCCAGTCTTCCGAAAATTCACTACTGGCTAAAGATGAAGCAAAAATCTCTGCAATTTCTTCCCTAGCTTCCCACAATGTCCGAGGATGGACTTGATCAGGCCCAGGGGATTTATCCAGCCTGACATGCTTAATGACTGCAAACACCTCCTATCTGGTAATACATATGTGGTCCAAAACATCCCTGCTTGTTTCCCTTAGCATCAATGCTTGTCTCCTCAGTAAACACTGAGGAGAAATATTCATTAACAATCTCCCCCATCTCCAGTGGCTCCATACATAAACAGCCATGGATGCCTTCTTCTTTTTCCTGACTCAATATCCCTTGTCAGCCAGGGATTCCAAAACCTGCTAGATCCCTAAACCTTCCCTCTCTGGTCTGGAATTGGAAAGGTTTATCAATTTCGCTTCCAATTTCCAGCTCACCCTTACTTTCACCTGGTTCATCCCTATCACCTCCCTTCCCCTCCTCGACATCTGTTTCTATTTCTAGGGATACACTGACCATTAATATGTCTTTTAAACTCACTGACTCCCACAGCTACCTGCACTATACATCCTCGCACCTTGCTTCCTGTAAAGACTCTATTCCATTCTCCCAGTTCCTCCGTCTCTATCTCATATGTTCCAAGGGAGCTTCCAAAATGTTCACCTTCTCAACTGAGGATTCCCTCGCAGTATTATGACAGGGCCCTCAATCGGGTCTGACCCATCTCCTGCATTTTGGTCTTCATCCCTTCTCCTCCCTCCCGCAAAAGTGATAGGATTCCCCTTGTCCTCACCTATCACTCCCCCCAGCATCCACATTCAGAAAATCATTAGCTGCAATTTCCGCCACCTCCAGCGAGATGCTACCACCTGACACATATTCCCCTCCCCTCCCTTGTCCGCCTTCTGCAGGGACCATTCCCTCCGGGACACCCTGGTCCACTCTTCCTTCACTCCCAACACACTTCCACAGCACCATGGCACCTTACCCTGCAATCGCCGAAAGTGTAACACTTGCCCATTTATCTCCTCCCTTCTCAGTATCCAAGGGCCCAAACATACCTTCCAGGTGAAGCAGCACTTTACCTACACTTCACTCAATCTAGTCTACTGCATTTGCTGCTCACAGTATGGTCTCCTCTACATTGGGGAAACGAAACGTAGACTGGGTGACTGCTTAGCAGAACATCTACGGTCTGCCCCAGAAATGACCCTGAGCTTCCAGTTGCCTGCCACTTTAACACACCACCCTGTTCCCTGGCCAGTATCATGCTTGCTGCAGTGTTCCAGCGAAGCTCAGCACAAGCTGGAAGAGCAGCACCTCATTTTCCGCTTGGTAACCCTGCAGCCTTCTGGACTCAATGGTGAGTTTAATAACTTTCGCTACTAACAGTCCCCATTAACAGCTATTCACCCTCCTAGACAGGTTGTTATCAACTCCTTTGTCCATCCAACTGTTCTTCTCTCTCTTTGGGCTATATCCCCAACTATCCTTTACTCCTTACCCCCTCCTCCACCTGATCTTCTGCATAAAAACTAACATTTTCTAAGCTACCATCAGTTCTGAGGGAGTGTCACCAGATCCGAAACTTTAATTCTGATTTCTCTTCACCTGCTGAACTTTTCCGGCAATTTCTGTTTTTGTTCCTCATTTGTTATTGTAAGTGAATAAGTCAAACTCCATTGTTAATTAAGATTTTAGCAGGGCCTCAAAACTTGTATTCTGTTATTCTATCGATTTTTCTGTGGAAGCAATAAACTCGTGACCTCAACCTCTGTCTTAACCTTTTAAGATTTCTTGTAATGATGTGCATTGTCTCAGAATTTGACAAGTTATTTAGAGTTTAAGAATTTCAAGAATATCATATTTCAAGAATATGATTACTGGTTAAACAACCATTACTTTGAATTAATTCAAATCTCATAATCACTGTTAGTAATACACATTTAGCATTCACATGCACAGAATGATAGAAAAGCTACTGCACAGGAGGCTATTCAGTCCATCATGTATTTGCCAGCTCTTTGCAAGGACATAGTTATTCCCACCATTGTTCGCCAATCCTACACCCCATCCTTTTACCCATAGCCCTTCAAGATTTACTCTCTTCAGGTACATATCCAATTCTCTTTTTGAAAGTTTCAACTGAATCTGCCTCTACCACACTTGCAGGCAGTAGTGCATTTCAGATTCTGGACACTTGTAGAGTTATAGAGTCATGCAGCATTGAAACAAATCCTTTGGCCCAACTAGTCCATACCAATCATGTTCCCAAACTAAACTAGTCCCACCTGCCTGCATTTGGCCCATATCCCTTCAATCCTTTCATATTCATGTACTTATCCAAATGTCTTTTAAATATTGTAACTGTACCCACATCCACCACTTCCTCTGGCAGTTCATTCCACACACTAACCACTCTCTGCCTAAAAAAGCAGCCCCCTCATTTCCTTTTTAAAACTTTCTCCTCTCACCTTAAAAATATGGCCCCTAGTTTGGAACTCCCCCACCCTAGGGAAAAGACGCTTCACCTTATCTATACGCCTCATGATTTTATAAACTGCTTTAAGCTCACCTCTCAACCTTCTACGCTCCAATGAAAAATGTCCCAACCTAGGTTTTAACTCATGTCACAACTGTTTCTTTAGACAATCCCCTTAAATTGGTATCCTCTGGCTCTTGACTCTTCCACCAATGGGAACAGTTTTTCTGTATCTAGTCTGTCCAGACCCCCAATGATTTTGAAAACCTCCAAATCCCCTTTAACCATCTTCTAGAACTACACCAACTTCTCCAATCTATTCACATAACTCAAATTGGGGAAGCGATAGCCTAGTGGTATTATCACTGGACTATTAATCCAGAGATCCAGGTAACGTTCTGGGATCCCAGGTTTGAATCCTGCCACAGCAAATAGTGGAATTTAAATTCAATTTAAAAAAAATCTGGAATTAAGAGTCTAATGATGACTGTGAACCGATTGTTGGAAAAACCTATCTGGTTCACTAATGTCTTTTAGGGAAGGAAAATGCTTTCAACCCACAGCAATGTGGTTGGATCTTAACTGCTCTCTGGAAAATTAGGGATGGGCATTTAATGCTGGCCTAGCCAGTGATGTCCTAATCCTGTTAATGAATAAAAAAAAAAAAAAACTGATTCTCACACATCTTTTCTGTACCCTCTCTACAGCTTTCAAATTCTCCAAAAAATGTGGTGATCATAACAGGACATGATACCTCAGATGAGGGCAAAGCAGCGTTTTATAAAAGCCATCTATAAATGCTATACAGAACTGAAAACAGGAAATAAAGAGAGAAACCAATTTAGCCACATCTCTCTAGGTTTTTATTTTAAACTGGCTGGATGGATTGCATGTCTATAACAGACTTGTTCAACTTTTCTATCAATTTAATTTGAATAGAAAAAAATCCAAACAGGCTCAATTGTCAATGTAAAATTTTTCTAGCCTGATTTCCCTTTCTGTGCTCTGCCCAGACAATGCATTATATCCAGGCCATAAATACATAAATCTACCTTATTGCAAATGACACATTTAATGATCTAGTGACAAGATAAGCATATAATCAGGATTTTTGTTAAAATCACACTAAACACTTGTACAGAATTAGCAAGAACCGCAGATGTTTGAGTCAGAGACAACACAGTGTGGAGCTGGAGCTGGAGGAACACAGCAGGCCAGGC